AACAAGTTATAAGTCACTATCACTCATGCGCAACTAAAACCGTTACCCATTTTTTTGCTTTCCTAATTGGGATTTCTGCATTCCTCAGCCTTCCTAACTATTGGTCACTCCTAATATATTGTCACGCTTTAATGTCCGTGGCTCATTGGGTGTGATTTCAGAGAGCTTTTGACTCAGTTGGACATAACTCCCTTCAGATCAGCACTAAGACAACTTGACTTGGTCGTCGTTTTTATAGCTAAGATCCTGGTGTTAAAGAGTGAGACTGAGAATGAAGAAGTTCAGATGACAGTCTGTATACATTTGTTTGGTAGTATAAATCGACTCCATTGATTCTGCTGGGTTCATGTTGTCTTAATAAAGATTCGATTTTCCTTCAACTTTCAAAGCGTTTCCTCTCGCAGTCCAAAAACACTAGTAGGTTGATCGAACATCCCAAATTGACCACAGGTATAAAGGTGAGAGTGATTGGTTCTTTGTCGCTGAATACCTTTCCTAGAAGCTCATGGAGACCCAGGACTTGGGCGGCAAAGACTCCGGTACCAATAAAGATACTTGGCACTAGACCGAGGAAGCCGCGCAGGTTCTTAGGAGCTATCTCACCCAAATACATTGGTACAACACTTAGAGAGATGCCTGCGTGGGGAAGGAAAAAAAAAAGCCTTATTACTCATTACGTTTTACCAGTGTGAGAAGAGGCCTGTACAGCGTGACTACCTGAGTGGATTCCTGTGATGAAGCGGCCAATGATGACCGTCTCAGGAAAAACCCACAACCTGCTGAAACCCATGAGTGAGCCGGCAATAAACACCAGCACTGTCGAGTTCACCACCGTGCCCTTCCTACACAAACACACACACACACAACGATTGAAAATACATTTCAAATACATTTAGATAACATGATGTCACAAACCCAAGGGTAAAGACATCTTCCAAAGACCTTCGACACAGGGTCTGGTTGACTTGATTTTTAATTATTATTCTTATCAGCCAAATGTATTACAGAAAGCATTCATTACTAAAACAATTATCATGGCATTTTCATAAACCTTTATGTGTTGCTTCTTCATAATATCAAGATGATTAAGATTACATTAAGGTTAGGATGAGGTTTTTTTTGTTATAATCAGTCACTATGATTATTATACAGAGATCTTTATTAGTATGATACTTGTTGTTCTTCATTGCATGTCAAAAAAAAAAAAAAATCCCAAATTTTATATATAAATATTTTGGAGTTTCTGTGTAATTTCAAGAATTATTCGTTAGAGTCTAGGAGTTCTAGAGAATTTTAATGGTATTTTCCTTTTGCATTGTTCATTTTATATTATTATTGTTATTATCATCTTTTTTGCATGTCATTTACAACAAGCTCATTTGTGTTTATTTTCAGGGGTAGTTGATGGGAGGTGGCCCAGTAAACAAACAGAATGCAAAATGACAACATTCACTGAAGCGAAACTCATTTCTCACCTGCCGAAGCGAGTAACGAGCATACCCACTATGAGTGACCCCAGCAGACCTCCGATCGCAAAGACAGACACGGTGAGGGAGTACATGAGGGTCAAGGTCTCCTCGGTCAGCCAGGTTCCATTACGACTCAGCACGGTTTTGTTGTAGAACTCCTTGATGTACTGGCAGTATAAAGAGAGTGAGAAGAGAGAATGGAAACAGAGGACAATTTCAAGGGCAGATTAGCACGGCAGGCCAGTTGTTATCATTGGACAGACCTAGCTACATCACATCAAAGACTGGCCTAACCGAACATACAGTGATATCCTCAACGACCTGTCTGTTATTTGCTAGCATGTAAAAATTTGGCTATACAAACATAAACACTGTCAAATGAAGTCTTAATGTTCACCTGTGCTAGGGTTTAGCATAAGGCTTAAGGCATTTTGACAAGCAAAGTACGGAGGAATGTTCCACTCCAGTATTTTATTTATCGCCCCCTACTGGGGGGGTTGTTTCAATAAATCATCAATAAGGACTTTTTTCAAGTTTGACTAATTTGACCACAAAACAGATTCGTTTGCACTTTCACAAGTGGAGACCTGCAAGTTGGACAGTTTTATTTAGGTTTCTTCTCTCTTGTTTACATATTTTAGTAATATAGCTGTTTACATTTACAGCTATTCCACTGTCTTCCTGATAAACATATAAAAATGCAAATGCAAACGTAGCCAAAGCGGTGTCAGAAACATATCAAGCTGGAGTTTTGGAGTGTTACAAATAATTTAAAAAAAAAAAGGAGTTTTGGAGTATTACAAATGATTAAAAAAAACCAAGATTTATGATTTAGGATATCTCTGTTCCTTCTGGTGATGCTGTACTATCGTGTTGTTACTGCATCAATGACAAAAAGGGTACTTTGACTTGACGACTGAAGTAAAATTTGTATTGTATAACTTTTACTTTGGAATAACATTTGTACTCGAGTACAAATGTCCACCTCTGGCAACAACTATACATCGTTTGTAGAAGTCTGTTTTTTTTTAAAGATTAGAAAACGACTCATTTAATCAATGGTAAACATATTCACATGTATGTATCTTTTAATGTAATTGTGATTTTGTTTCAGGTACTAACTCGAGACATGCAAAAAGGCATGTGTTCATCATCAGTGTTCATGTACTCAGCCAGGAACCTGAATGCATGTGACAGATTAAAGCAATTTCTTGGTAAGAGAAAGCCATTTTAATCTGGAATTCACAAAAAAAAAAAAAAAAGAAAAAGAAAAAAAAAAGAGGGTTATGTTCTGCACAGTAAAATGTTCCCACTGAGTACTGACACCAATCAAACAGACAGAGTAAACTTAAAACTCTGTCTATTTGCTTTAACCAAAATAAAGTTTGATCACTTTTTGACTGTTTTTTTCTTCTTTATTTGTACATTTGTATTCTCGCGTGCTGTGTATTCACATGACGGGCAGTGTAATATAAATATGAATAACCAAGAAATATAATCAGGAAATAAGAAATCAACTGGCAGATGCTCCATGGAACCCAATCAGCGACATTAGCCTAGACCTCTTCCATATACCTTTAGTACTATAATAATTATAATAACAATAGTTATCAAAATTCATCTTAGAAATAAATATTTTTTTTTGCCATTAATGGCCCGTGTGTGTGTGTGTGTGCATCTCACCACAGCAGGAGAGTTTACGACTGCTAGATTGTATCCATAAAGCATAGAGCTCCCAAAGGAGGTGAGGAATGCTACTGCCAACAGGGAGCTGGTCAGGTGCTGCAGACAGTGAGGAGGAAAATGGGTGAATTCATGTTAATAGTAATAATAATAAACTTTATAATACACAAGAACACAGTCCATGTAAGCAGACAACAAAAGAGTAATTACGGTAGTTTTATCCGAAAAATAGTTACATCAAGGTTAGTCATAGTTAGCCATTACTTCTCCCAAAAAGTAACTAGTAATTAACGAATTAGTAATTCAATATCTACACTATTAAAGTAACATGTTACCAGGGAAGTATGTAAGTTTAAATGTCTTTTTTTTTCTCAGTGGGTTTAACAAGCCAAAACTGCGTAGACAGGTACATACAGGGGGTTTTTAAAAAAAAGCTTTGCACCTCAACGAACCACAATTGGTCAGTTTTCTTCGTAACACAAATAAAGTTTAACTAAACGTACTGCTTTTAACTCTCTGTACATACTGTAATGTTCAAGTCTTTTCTTAAAAATAAAGGTAAACAGTTTAACTATGAGGTGCTTTCACCTCTACAGTGTCAATTAAATAAAACAAACCCAAACCTGGCCCGCCATCGTCGTCAACAGTGTCGTCGAATGTTTTCATCCACCAGCTTCGTGGTAGCGCGTACAACTTAATTAAAGCAATTGAATTGAAGTAGTTTAAAAGCCACCTTTCCATCCAGAATCGCCTTTTCAACTGCTTGCTTCTGCTAGTTTGGGTGTCTGAACGCTTGTGTGATTTGCCGCCATTGATTGGCTTACCATAAAAGGTCACTCTAACCTAGCCAATCATCATCAACTATGGGGTTGCCTGGTCTCTCCCTCCTCCGGCACAAATAATAATAATTAAAAAAAAAAAATTAAAATAAGAAGCTCCTGTGGCTGAGGCGTGGCGGTCGCGGAAATGGCGTTATTCCCTTCACTGTTTATTACCTATAACAAATATTTTTAACAATTTTCTATTTATTTTACTGCCCTAATATTTTGCTAAAATAACAGTATAATATGGTACAATTTTTAAATATTGGTAAAAACGTAAACACACGGAAATATAATCCGTAATGTGTTGCACTTAATGAATCACAGAAATACATAAATATAAGAAATCCTAATGATTTAAATAAGGCAAGTAATCCGCAATATGTTGCACTTAATGAATCACTTGAAAAGAAATACATAAATTATGAGAAATCCTAATGATTTAAATAAGGCAAAAATATGAAATCTTTAATAAAATAGGTTTAAAAAATAAATAATATACCTTCAAATATGAACTTCAAAATTCAAAACAAGTAATAATAAAAAAAAAACATGACTGACAATAGTAAGTAACTAAAGTCCCGAGTTATTTAGACCAAAATGTATTTGCTTTTTGCGAGATCCTGAAAGAGCCTTCAAGTATTTGACAGTTTAACAAATTACATTTTATAAATTCCGACGAGTAACTCAATCAAAGAACATGGAAGTCTGGCTCTTTTATAATGGACTAACGCGGAGAATGTCTGCGCGGTTTTTCTGATACACGTTTTTTTTTTTTTTGTTTCTATTAGTTTATCATGAGTCACGCGGCGTTTGAACAAGAGGTGCTTCAAGAGATTCGTCATGTGCAGATATCACAATCANNNAACATGCCACCTGCTGAGCCCACACGCCCCAAACCTTGGCCTTGACTCGTGAGGTAGCGAGGTAGTGTTCAGGTGGTGTTTTTAGTGTTGCATTAGGGTCGTCGCACCACTTCGCAATTCCTCACAGTTAATCTTACCATGACATATCACAAACAAGTAAGCAATCTTGGAGCTTTCTTGGATCACTACAAAGCACTGCTAAGGTTGTTCCCAACTTGTTTGAGCTTCCCCACCTAGTGTAAATATACACAGTGTATGTATATATATATGTTGATTTTGATTTTGAATAGGAGCCATTCATTTTTCACTGTTTAATTTGAGGAAATTGGAGATAAACTAGGATTCAAGCTTGGTGAGACTTTTGTCAAAGTGTGTAAGAATTCAGGTTCGCTGGAAAGCGAGCTGGGTGTCATCTGCATAGCAATGAAAATAAATGTTATACATGCAGAAGCCAATGGGAGGTAGAATGGGATGAAATGCAGGGGCCCCAGGAATGATCCTTGGGGAACATTTATAGGTAACAACGTAGCAGAATAAACAGAGTGGCTAAACCGGTTTGGAGGGGGCAAAAAGCGTAATGGAATTGTCTAAAAAATTTGAAAAATTAACAGAAGACAAGAAATCGAAACCAAAATGTGTTCCAGTTATTTTTTTCATTTTTATCATGGGGTCGTGAACAAATGTTGTGCAACTAAAAATCAATCTTATTTCTCAAGGTTGCACTGCAGTCTGACGTGTGAAACAGAATATTTAAAAAAAAAATCACGTTCCAGATCTTCACTTATTTTAGATGTTTAATAACATTAATTTCATATATTTAATATAATGTTTTTATTTTATAATTTCCTTTTACTTTGAGCTTTAGGTTTCCTCTCAACGCCATCGTCTGCTTTACTCTTGAACTCCAAACGTTAAGCAAACTGTTTTGTTTTTTTCTGTTGTTGACCTAAAGCACAAGGATTACTCTGCATATTACATCAGCACAGCATTACAGGAAAAAAAAAACAAGGCTTTAAATGTGAGATTTTTTGAAAATAAAGTGATATCAAATAAGACAATTTTCTCTCAACATTACACACTTTGTTGGAGCAAAAATATTCATTAACAATTTACAATTAACAATTTGTATCACATGTTTTCCATCATAGCCAGCTCTGGTTTCGTGTTATACTTTAATTATCTCAAAAAAGTTAACTCTTCATGGTTTGGTGTCACGTTACGGTCAAGACCTTATTTAAAAAAAAAAAAATCAACAGTCAACAGATTTTAAGATGTTGAACTGTATTAAACGCCTACAACTTTTACACAACACACAACCGGTCAATTCCATCAAATTCATTAAACAACAACCAATAGTATACGAAACCGCCAATGACAAATAATAATTCGCAAGTTTGCATTCTCGTAGCTGCTGGCTCTGTTTGCAGTAAGCTAACAACGGCACCTACTCACCGCAGTAATCTTCCCAGGAGAGGAAATTAAAACTTCTTCAGCCATTTAGTAAATCTCTCCTCGAGCTGTAAATGGTGAACTTTCTCGTCTCACTACACCGCTCAGGATGTCATGGTTGCTGTAGCAATAGACCTGGTAGCTTGGGTTAAACTCTTCTAGTGTGGTGTGCCAGGCTGCAGTGTCCAGGATCCCAATAAGAAGCCCGCACACTGTCATCACATGACAGAGAGCAACGTGACGGGCCAAGAGAAAAGCCTGCTGGAAGCAATTAGCTTTAACTGAATTTACAAAGGAAGAGGCAGAGAAGCACGGAACAAAGGTACTACAGTTGTACACACATACGTATACACATAAACGGTCAGATGGTCGGTTGAGTGATAGTCTTTGAATGACAGACCGGAACCAAGGAAAGATGACAAAAGTTCAAGGAAGCCATGGTACGCGGGCCAGCCGCAAAAGTACGCCGAATTTTCTGAAAGAAATTTTTCTGGGATGTTTCATAAAAAACGGTCAGATCTGTTGTGAAAGACCGCCTCTTGGAGGCGCCAAGCACGTGGTTCTTCCCGGGATTCAAACCCAGCACCTCCAGCGTGTAAGGCAGCTGCACTACGGCACCACCAAAACAAAAAGGCACTGCTGGGATTCGAACCCAGGATCTCCTGTTTACTAGACAGGCACTTTAACCAACTAAGCCACAGCGCCTACTGCTGTTGACGACCAAAGGAACCGGTTAGCAAAACAAACAAGGAAGACACATCTGCAGAGGAACTGGTACAGGGGGGGGGAATACCGAGGAGGGCAGACGGAGACAATCAAATAACTGTACGACACAGTAGCACAGCTAATTCGCGAGACAGAAGGACAGGAGCACAGTGAGGGATTAGCTACAACAAATAAGTAAGAAAGTAAACCAGGGACAATTGATGAGGAGTCACAACTTACCTAGCAAGATTGGACGTGACAAGTCATCCAAAAGATGGAGGTAGTGCGGAAATCAAAGCATCATGAGTCTCTATAAAGATACTGGTGTTAGTGCGGCAAACAAAAATGTGAAAAGAGCAAGGTAATCCCTTTTTTAGTTACAGGAGTAATCCTATTAAACATCCCCGAAACTATTTAGGGAAATGATTCCCCCAGAAACATCAAAGAAACAGTTGTAGCTTGAGGCGTAGCGTAGGCATATGAGGTCTCTAAAAATCACATGTGCTCATTGTGGACCATTAGGTTTGAAGTAGAGTTTTTGTAAGACATCATCACCTGCCTGGACTTTCACATTTTTCTTTATCCTATGACTTTTCTCCGCATGAATAGTTGGCTTTGTTTGGACGGATTAGCCTCATGGCAAAAATATTTTCTCCTAATGACTTCCAGTGTAGCCCTACTGATCCAGTTTTTTTTTTTTTTTCTCTGTAGTACAGATCAAGCTGAGTAAAAACGTATAAATCAGGCGTGGGGAAACTTTTTGGTTTTTTCGCGGGCCACAATTGGCCCGGTCAGGAGCAGATAGATGGAGCGTTCGTGCGAACTTAGATAAATGACATGTAAAGGCAAAAATGCTAAAATGCTTTTATCATTTTCTACGCCCTCTATTGGGGAAACATGGGTATTGCAGTATAGTATAATGATAATATAAAGAAATTATATATAGTACAATGATAATATAAACAAATTATATCATTTGGAAAGGTTTGGCGGGCCGGATTAAAAAGCTGAACGGGCCACATCCGGCCCCCGAGCCATAGTTTACCCATGCCTGGTTTAGACACAGTATAAGGCTGCATCTCATTTTGAAGAGTAACTTTAGAGATGGTGATAAAAGTATTTAAAAAGATTAAGAAGAGTGATTTGAAGGGTTTCCTAAAGGGATATCCGATAATATTATCAATAATTACGTATTATTATTACAATTATTACGTAATAATAATTACGTAATATCTGTAAGAATCATTATCAATTTTTTCAGTAATAATGAAAAAAAACGATAACTCAAAAGCCTGGGTTTTGCCATATGACGTGTGCCCTAAAAATAGTTTTGGGGAAAAAACAGCTGCAAATGAAGGTGAAAGTCACTAGATGGCAGCATTGCAGCTCATTTATTAGTTTGTTTGTTTGTTGTTTTTGCGAAGTCTCATTCTTGTTTTGCAGCTGTGGCACTTTAAGGTTGCTTTTGAACCACCTCAGCACGTGTGATTCAGCATTCAATTTATCAAGCTGTAGGTCACTCTGTCCCACCAGCCTATCTTTGCTAAGACATATCTGTTATGTTACTTTTTATGTGAATTTTTTTTTTTGAGTCCCATACACTTAAGCAGTGTTTCCCAACCTTTTCTGAGCAACATCAATATAATAATCTTCTAGTTTAAATTAACTCTCCATTCACTAAAATCTCAGCCTGTTTAGTTGAAGTCAATGCTGATATACTCACAGGAATTGAATAAAAGACACTCAACAGCTCTGCTTCCCTTTTTTAGTTTTCATATCCATCTGCTGCCACCTAGTGGAAGAGTATTAAATTATTCATCCTGTCACACATTGAAGAACAAAGACAAAGTATTTGCAATAAATAAATAATAATGTTCAGACCAATCAAGTGACTGTTCAATGACTGTCTTATGACGGTACATCGTGAACTATTTTGATGTCAATAATGTAACCGTGTTATTACATTAATTGTGGAATGGAATGGAATGGAAAAGGAAACTTTTTTTTTTAATGACGCCGCCTTGAATCATATCTGTTTGTCTCTAATCTGAAAAGAAGCTTTTGTGGAAAAGATACTTTCTGTAACTTCCTGCCTTTTTTCCCCAGACTGTTTTGAACATACAGTATGTGCCCAAAATGAAGGACACACCAACTCCCATGTAAATATATAAACTATTAGTACTTGATCACTGAAAAGAATTGTATAACAGCTGAACACAAAATATTTTTTTTTTTTGTTTGATTTAATTTACAAAAATGTATTTAAAATCTTGAAAAATGCTATAGTAAAACTCCCTTTACCTGTGATCTGCCATGGACCAGTAAGACAATATCTTCACGTTTCTAGGTTTAAAAAAAAAAACAAAACAAAATAATTACTTCAACATGGACTTGTTGCAAGAATCCATAAATACACAACTAAAAATACTCACTCTATTTCCGGACTATAAGTCGCTCCGGAGTGTAAAAATACTCACTCTATTTCCGGAGTATAAGTGGGACCAGCCAGTTAGAACGCCCTCTAGTGGCTGTCTGTGTGAAATGAACAAAAATGTAAATTTTCAGTGTTACAGGAGTAGCAGATACTGGTATACAAGCACACAAGCACAACAATCAGTGTGAGAATAACAATCATGTGAAATGATATATTTGAATATATATGTCGCACCTGAGGTCAGGTCGCAAACCCAGCCAAAGGAAGGCAACGGAAAAAAAGGTGCGACTTACAGTCCGGAAAATACGATACATCTGTTATATCTGCAAACAATGACCGTAACATTGACTAAAATATAGTGTGATATAGAATATATTTGACCATCACAATCATGTTATTTCATGTGTTAAACGGCAGCTTTATACAACAAGAAATATGTCAATTAGCATCTTTATTTGAGAAATTTGTACATCAGACGATTATGTACTTTGAAGGATACAAAACTGAATTACGGATAATCAAATACCAGTAATTCACAGTGGAATTTGGCTGATTTGTTTTTAAAAAAAAAAAAAAAAAAAAAAAAAAAAAAGGAACAGATCAGATGACAATGATTTTCTTTATTCTAAGCATTTTTGTTGTCGGTGATCTAATGGTTACAGGCTGCACTGGAATCAAAAGCATAACATGGCTCAGATCGTATGGAAAGAGAATGATTATATACAGTACCACTTTAAATCACATCCCTGTCAAAATGTTTGAGCAATTTGTCAACATAATCACTTTATAAACTTTCTAGCAGATACAAAAAAAAAAAAAAAAAAATCCACATTTTAAATGAACTGAAAATGTGTCACCTTTTAAGGTAAAGTTAAATGAGCTCATGCTTTAGGTTTTCCCTCATTTCTGCACGAACAAATGCAGATAAAAATAACCGACTCTTTCGCTGATTTTTTTTTTCTCTTTTGTCCTGAGTCAATAAGGTCTTTGTCAACACATCATATCATTACGGACAAAATAAAAAAAAACAATCCAAAAATATTTGAAGGCTGCATAGAAAACTGAATTTTTATACAGAGTGGAATGTGGAATTTAAAAAAAAAATCCCAACATCGGTCAAAACAGTAGCTAAATGAGTTTATTTACAAGTTACCTGTTATATTTCTGTTCAAATCCCTTAACAAAGGAGCCCGTGAATCCAGGGCCAAGACTAAACCCATCTCACCCCGACACTGCAGCACAATCAAATCTGAAAATCATTGCTGTGCACAAATGAACGACTGGTGACGATTGAGTCGTGTCCTGTCTCAACTCTCACAGAACAGAAGGATTTGTGTTCGCCCTCTATCAAGAACGCAGTCCTTGCTCATCGTTATCCCGTATCTTCAGTATCACAGTAGTATCAGATACTAAGCTCAGCTTATTTGTATTAGGCATTAGTGTTCCATTACTGCAACAGAGTCAAAAAAAATAGCTTACTTACATTAGAAAAAAAAAAAACCTTTGGATAAAATTCAAGGTATGAAGCTGAAAATAATGGTTAGGTTGTTTTTCTGTATTAGGATTGAAACAGAGTTTGCTAAAAAAAAAAAAAAAAGTATGATCCTTAAAGTCCACAGAATATACTTTTCCAACAAAGACTTCCCTTAAAATGGCAAATTTTAGTTCAAACCGAAGGTTTCTAAACCACTGGATATGTACTGGGTTGCAGAGAATAAAAAAAAAAAAAAACTAAAGTATTATTTGCAGTTTATCAGTGCTAAAGATGTTTTATTAAAAAAAAAAAAAAACAAAAAAAAGAAGACAAAATTCTTTCCCAACTAAAGACACCTTTTAACACATTAAGACACTTTTTCGGAGAGCTTTGGTTAAAAAGACGAAGAGGACTACAGTCGGGAAAGACAGAACAAGCCTTTGACTTTCAAAACAAAACAAAGTTGCATTTTACAGCTGAACGTCTCACTTGCAGAACTCTCTCTGCAGAACATGCTACACTTACAGTAACGGCGAGTGTTACTTTGATGCACTTTTAACTGTTTTTGATATCAGTCGGATTGTTTATATTGTTTGCGGAGAACATTCTTGGCCCGTGACCACGATTTCCTAAGTGTGGAAAAAAACCAGTCCGCGGCATGTTGCAGATCGGTGGAAGAATCCGTCTGGTGCTACACAGACACAACAGTTACAAGTATGGATGGCTAGGGATTTGAGGGTCGATACTCAGACTTTGAACCGCCTTGTCCGACACCCATCGCCTATCACCTCAGCAAGGAGAAAAGCAGATACTCCAAGTTGCAGTATCAAAAAAACGTCGTATCGAGCCATCCCTAGTTGTAACCATATCGGAACACCTCTGTTTCTTATGTGACCCTACATGATAATGGTAAAGATAACCTTTTCATATTTATTGCTTACAGTAATATTGTCTTTGGCATTACATTGGCTGACAAAATTGTCGTGTCGTCTCACGTTAAATTCCCAGGTCGATGAATCAAACCTGGTGACTTTGATACCACTGCTGTATGTAAACAGACTTTTCCCTCCAATATATATATATATATAAAAAAAAAGGGGATATGCTTCTGATATTATTAGTCCTGCTTCATATACATCTTGCTGAAAACAATAGCACAAGAGAGAGACACAGTTAAATCCCAGTTACTAAAGGAAAAACTTAGTCTGGTATCCTTCTAATCGACTGCTCCGGACGGTTACTAAGTCGAGCGGTACATGAAGTGGGTCTAGCACAGATTATTTTTTTTCGTCCTATATACAAGCAAGTATATATACTGGTTACGGTAAGTCGAGCGGTACATGAAGTGGGACTAGCACAGATTTAGTCGTATTAGGCTATTTATTGGTTGACATAACGTTTTTTTTTTCCGTCCTATATACAAGCAAGTATATATACACAATTTGACTCTTGACCCCGTTATGGATTACCTGGGCCTACAAGGCGGACAGAGAAGTTCTACGCAGGACATTTTAGTCAAACTAACACTGACACTTTAGCTACTTTAGGAGAGGTTTTTTTTTTTTTTAAAAAAAAAAGAAGACTGAGTGTGAAAGTAATTATAATATCAATACTAACAATTTTAAGGCAAAAAGATTCCGAGTAAGAAAGGTGCTTCCGATTTTCTCCGAGCTTGTCACCAGGCCAGTCAAACCTGCACATGTGCTACAAGACCACAGCCCCGAGCACCGAGGGTCAAATTTTTGCATCAGTTTATGAAACATTAAAGGTAAATATTTTCACTGGCTCCAACAGTCCCAGCGCTAGAGAGATCATATTCCATGCCGTGTTGCGCAACACCAGGCTCCTCCGTTTCTTCTTCTCTTTGTAAAATGCTGCGCTGATCCCACGGTTCCTGACCGTCGCATACCTCAATTCCGGAATCGCCCGTAAATCGCCGGTACCTGCCTGGCGTGGAGTCCTTGTTTGGGTTGTTACCATTGTGGAGATGTGCGTTTGTGGCCTCTGGAGTATTCTGGAGGGCCGCGTCCTCGATCCTGCTGATAGGCACAGCTAAGTTGGGACGCAGAGGCAAGTCTTCTGAAGGTTCTGTTGGTTGAGGTTCTGTCTGGACGGGGGTGTACGGGGGAGGAGGCGTGGTCGGTCGGTTCTCAACTTCTTCGTAGGGTGGCAGCAGATACGCAGGTAAGAATCCTGGAGGAAAACATTTGAAATGTGCCTGTGAGTGTTTGACCTACTGAAGTACTATTTGGATGCAAGAGAGCAAACAACATCTCAGGAGAATTAAAAAGATTCAGAGGAGATTTTAGGTGTAAAAATGAGGGAAATTCATCTATAAAAATAAATGCTCACAGCTAGAATTTTCGAGGTCAATGTTTGCTGAATCATCTTTCTTTTAACAAAGTTTCTCCCAACAGGAAATGTAAGCTTACACTCCCAGAGTTACAGTAGTCAACATCACTGTCACATTAGTAAGTTCTCTAAAAAAAAAAAAAAAAAAAAAGGAACGTCATAAATCTAACTTCTCATACACATACACAACAAAGTGACCCGAAAACACAGGAGCAGTCGACGCTTAAGAAGTTTCCCTCTCGCGTAAAAATACTACATTTGATGGTTTACAAGCTTTGATTTGATTTTAGTATCACAAGATACTACAAATAATAGTACGATTTTTTTTTAACTCACATGACTACAAAAGGTATTTCAAAAATACTTCGTTTTTTTTCCAGCTCGCAGTAAATTTATATCGTAGACTGTAGAGGTCACTGTTGTCTAAAACCGTGACCTCTGATCTTTTGTGTCATAATCGGGGCTCTACATACACAC